CATTACATTCATAAGGTTTCTCCCCCGTATGAATTCTCTGATGCCGCGTGAGATCTGTTGTCCGGATGAAGGCCTTTCCACATTCATTGCATTCATAAGGTTTCTCTCCAGTATGTATTTTCTGATGTACAGTAAGCTGTGATCTCTGCCTGAAGGCCTTGCCACAGTCATTGCAGTCAAAAGGTTTCTCTCCAGTATGAATTCTCCAGTGGAGAGTAAGCTGTGAGCTTCCATGGAAGGCCTTTCCACATTCAAAACACTCAAAACGTTTCTCTCCAATATGAATTCTCTCTTGTAGAGTAAGTTGTGATGTCCCACTGAAGGGCTTCTCACATTCTAAATATTCTAAAGTTTTCTCTCGGCTATGAATTCTCTTATGTAGAGTAAGACGTTTTCTCACGCTGAAGGTCTTTCCACATTCATTACATTCAAAAGGTTTCTCTCCAGTATGAATTCTCTTATGTAGAGTAAGACTTGTCTTCAAACGGAAAGCCTTCCCACATTCACTACATTCATAAGGTTTCTCTCCTGTATGAATTCTTTGATGTACAATTAGATGTGAGCTATGGCTGAAAGGCTTTCCACACTCATTACATTCATAAGGTTTCTCTCCTGTATGAGTAGCCTGATGTTGAATAAGTCCTGAGCTACTTCTGAAAGCCTTTGCACATTCATTACATTCATAAGGCTTCTCTCCAGTATGAATTCTTTTATGTACAATAAGTTGTGAGCTCTTGCTAAAGGCTTTCCCACATTCACTACATTCATAAGGCTTTTCTCCAGTATGAATTCTCTGATGTACAGTAAGTCGTGAGCTTCTACTAAAGGCCTTCCCACATTCGTTACATTCATAAGGTTTCTCTCCAGTGTGAATTCTCTGATGTTCATTAAGGCTTGACCTCTGGTGAAAAGCTTTCCCACATTCCTTGCATTCATAAGGTTTCTCTCCAGTATGAATTCTCTGGTGTTGAGTAAGATGTGAGCTCCAGTGGAAAGCTTTCCCACATTCAAAACATTCATAAGGTTTCTCTCTGGTATGAAGTTTCTGATGTCGAGTAAGATCTGTCCTTAAACTGAAGCCCTTTCCACACTGATCACATTCATAAGGTCTCTCTCCAGTATGAGTTGTCTGATGCTGAATAAGTCCTGTTTTCACAATGAAGGCCTTCCCACATTCACTACATTCATAAGGTCTTTCTCCTGTATGAAGTCTCTGATGTTGAGTCAGGTGTGATCGCTGATTAAAGGCCTTCAAACACTCACTGCACTCATAAGGTTTCTCTCTGGTATGAATTCTCTGATGTCGAGTAAGACCTGTTCTCACACTGAAGGTCTTCCCACATTCATTACATTCATGAAGTTTCTTGCTAGTATGGATTTTCTGATGTACAGTAAGTTGTGAGCTCTTGTGGAAAGCTTTCTCATATTCATTACATTTATAGGACTTCTCAGAAGTATGAATTCTGTGAAGGGAATGAACTGTGGTTAAAAGCTTTCAGACATTTATTAAAACATTCACTTATGTATCCTGGATTATAACTCAATTATGGCAAATATTCATTAGTCTTGGAAAATAGTTACTTTGAGCAGATTCTGTTGCACTTGCAAAGGCTTAAACTGTACTCTTTTTTAAATGAAATTTTTATATCGTTTTAAATTACTGGTGTTGTTTTTCTTCACCTTTGTTTCCCACTGTATCCCTTCCAATCTGCTTCCCAGAGAACCATCTCTCATAATAAAGAAAAAAAATTCCATAAAACTAATCAATATATCTAAAGATTCAGATGCAGTGTTCCACACTTATGATCCTCCACCTCTGTAAAGAAATGGGGAGAGATTGATCTCAATAATGATTTCTCTGGGAACCACGGTCATGTAGCTTCTTCCCTAGAGACTCTTCATTGAGGGAAGAGAATTGTCCATAGACTATGGCTTCAGACATACTTTTGATTTTTCCTTAGGAGAAAGGAATATTGGGATATTTAATTTCCTAGAACACCTCTCTTGGGATGCCTCTTCTTTAGCCTTTGTGGAAGCATACAAAGGCACTCTGGGTTCCCGCTTTTAGACACAGTAAGAAATCCTAGTTTCTCAGGGCCTCACCTAAAGCCTTTGGACTCATCTGGTAAGCCTTTTCAATACTTAGTCAAATGCCAAGGAGACAATGTCCTAGCATGAAAGTCCTAACCAGTTTCTAAAGCAGAGATTCTTAGCCTTTTTTTTTGTATGTTAGACCCCTGTAGTAGTCTGGGCAAGCCTAAGAACCTCTTCTCGGAATCATGTTTTTAAATGCACAAAATAAAATACCTAGGACTGCAAAGGAAATCAATGATATTAGAACACAGTTATCAATATATTTTTAAAAACAAGTTCACAGATGCCAGGTTAGGAACTCTGTTCAAAAAAGAAATTATTATAAGTCAAAGTTCAGGGAAGAACTCTGATCCCTCTGGAGAAGACTTACAGGGGTGACCTGATAAGGGCAGGCACTCCTTTGACTCATCCAGATAAAGGCAGTCCTCTTTCTCCCTCTCTTTTATTATCATCATTATTATTATTTTATTTGTGAGGCAATTGTGGTTAAGTGACTTGTCCACTTGTCAAGTGTCTGAGGTCAGATTTGAACTCAGGTCCTCCTGACTCCAGGGCTAGTGCTCTATCCACTATGTCACCTAGCTGCCCCTCCCTTCCCCACTCTTGACTGGACTGAATACATTAAGAAAATGACTCCCCAGGCTCCAGGGACACTTCAAGTTAGGATACTACTATCTGATGCATTAAAGACTGTTACCTATACTCTCTTTGCTTATAAAATTAACTGTGAAATTGTTTTTATTTCTGAATACTTTAAATATAAAAAGACCTTGCTTGGGGATGGAGAATTTCAATTAAAATCGTGGCATTTGAATCTCCCTTCAAGCATAACTATGTTGTTATGCATATGCATACACACACACACACACCCCTCAGAGTACTGAGTTTTCCTCCTTCATACCTGGCATCATGTTCTAAAGCTTCTTCCCACCTGGATGCACAGAGATGATCCCTTTTGGGCTGTTCCAGGGCTGATTTTTCCACAAAAGTACCAAGCTTTGTAGCTGGCTCTTTGGCATCAGGCCCTGTCCCCCAGTCTGGAAAAAAAAAAGTATAAAAATTCCTTTCTCCCCAGCTGGAAGAAAGGTAACTTCTACTTTCTCAGGCCCATCTTCTGAATCCTGAACAAGAAATAAGATGGCCAGAAGTTATATAGTTAACAAGCATTTGTTAAGTACCTACTATATGCCAGGCAGTGTGTTAAGTGCTGAGGATACAAATAGAGGCAAAAGGGCCCGTCTCTAGCCTCAAGGCACGCCTGGACTAACTGGGAAGGCAAAAGGCACAGGGCAATGAGCAAACAAGATACAGAGAAGATGAACGGGGAAGGGAACTGAGATTAAGGAGGTCGACCTTGCAGAAGGTTGGACTGCATAGTTTCAGAGTTGCTTGTAAATTGTAAAAAATGTTCAGACTAATGTTCTGATTTGCCCTTTTGGGGGAACTGGTTATTCTTTGCAAAATGAGAAAACCAAGGCTTAGAGTGCTTTGGGGGCTGACCCCATGTCACCTAAGACCTCACAACTTGAGGTCAGGCATGCCCACCACTGCAGCCACCATGACGTGACACCGAGCAGCCTCTTATGGCTGAGGCCCAGGTCTGCTTAGGCTGACAGAGTCCAGGTCTTTCTCTTCTTAAACCGTCCAATCCAGTCAAAACTACTTTAATTACTGACATTTAAAAGCACCCATCAGAATGAAAGGAAAACAAAATACAGTCACTGGTCACTGAGTCGACTGGGGCTCAGAAGAGACTTCAGTCAGCCTTCCAGCCCCCAAGCCACTAGGTGTAGAGAGCACAGGGCCCTGGTCAGCCAAGAGGCAGAGCTGAAGACAGGACAGGCCTCTAAGAGCCACCAGCTCCAGGAGCCCACATAGGCTCACATTCTTTATTTGGTGGAATTCCAAAATGCAGCGTGAAGAACCAGTGGTGGAGGCCACAGAAGTCCACTGTCCCAGCAATGAGCCCTGAACAGTGGTAGGGCTGGAAGGAGCCTGAGGGTGGGTAGGCAGGGGTGTGTGCATGCCGTGCGTGGGGCTGTGTGTACATGTGGTATGTGGCGTGTGTGTGCATGTGTGTGGGGTGTGTGTGTGCATGTGTTCACGTGCATGTACACTGTCCATGTGAGATGTGTATGTCCACACGATTGGTCTGAATTTGGCTCTTGGGCAGCAGAGGCATGAATATCTCTCTAGAACCTGGCCCATCCCTTTTCAAAGGAGACTTTGAGCCTGCCTGGTGGGAAGCCAGACAAGGGATCCCAAGGGTGTCCATTCAGTATTCCTCTGAGAGGGGCACTGCACTACACTTTTATCTGCTCTTTTAAATACTGCTGGTCTAGGGACATAATTTTTAGGTCAGGCAGCTTTCCTAGTCACCAGCTGGCTGAGGTTGCACAAGACTAGACCAGCCAGAGGCCTTCTCCACCACCCTTGGCTTCCTTCTCCGACCCTCCATTTGAGGAAGACTCCACACTATCAATTCAAACCAGGACCAGCTCATGAGGCCCCAAACTAGCTCCTCTCTCTCCCCCCACAAGAAGAGACACAGAAGTTGGGTGGCCGTCAATATGAGAGCACAGTCCACAGCCTCTCCTATCCAGCAGGCTAGCTCTGAGATTCTCTGATTGTAAAGCTTTGGAGTCCACCATCTGAGCATTAGAAAAGGGTAGTAGCCGATGGACAGGAGCACACCCTCCTCTACAGCCTCTGCTTCTTCTCAGATTCCCTAGCCTCCTCCTCGTGCGTTCCTGAATTAAGAACCTCAGCACATTTTATGAAAAAGCAGATTGTTCATATATTTCAATGAATACAGACTGAAGTGAATCATTTCCAAGCAGAGGAATGAAAGGATGAGCCTTGAGGGGTGAGCAGCAATACTTTATTGCAGAGTTTAAAATTAAAAACAATGCCTACATAAACTACATGCCTTTGACAGCCTGCATAGATCACCTCCTAACGGACGCTGGAGACAGGGAGAGGGAAGGCAGACCAGTTGGGGTGGGGGGCGGGCAGAGGGGAAGATGTGGGAGTGGAGGCAAAGGGTGCACAACTGAATGAGTCAGGGAAGAAGGAGGAGCCTTGGGGAAGAGTGCACAACCACCAGGAATGGGCAGCAGGCCTGCCAGCAGCATCCTAACCCACCCCTCTTCTCAATCTGCCCACCTGAGGGCTCCCAGCCCGGGGAGGTGCCAGCTGGCCCTAAAGGCCAAAGTCCGAGTTCTCCTGGCAGACATGCCAGGACTCCAATGGCTGGAGGGCCGACTGGTGGAGCCCCACGACCGGACAAGGGCAGAAGCAGCACTGATTTCCCCCGAAGGGAAGGGAGGCAGAAGAGAAGCTACGGGCCTGTAAGGGACTTTAGTGCCTGCAGCATTTCTCCCCGGGTCCTCAAAGAAGTGGCTGAGGACTGCCTTGAGAAGGAAGCCAGTGTGGATTCGCCAGGAGCACACCACTCTTGTCCCTCTGTCACAGGGCTCTGAGCCCTGCAGCTCAGGGCCCTCCTGCATGGTTTCAGCTAACACCCCCTGGGTAGGCACCACAGGGAGCACTTCCGCTGACTTTAAACTAAGCTGGGAAGAATGTCAAGGTAAAAAGACGAGGGAGATGAGGCTGAAATGCCTTCACTCTGAAAAGGACACTGGGGTCAACAGTGTGACAGGGGAGCTGATGCCAGGGTACCCTGCACCAAGAGACGTAGGGGAGCAGAACGACAAAGGTGATATGTCCTGATCAGGCCTCGCCTTCCCTCGGGCATCCCAGTTCAGGAAGGAAACTGACGAAGTGGAGTGCCCAGAGGAGAGTCACCAGGAGGGCAAAGGGCCTTGGGAGCGCGTCGTATGAGATCTGACTGCAGGAAGTGGGGATTTTACAGAGGATTTAGGGGAAATGTGACAGCTGTTCCAATATTTAAAAAGCCACTGTGAAAGACAGGGTTTGTACCTGGTCTTCTTGGGCCAGAGAATGAGGTTAGATGCAGTGGGGGAGTCAGAGAGCAGAGGGAAGCTTGATGCAAGCTGTGGGACCTGAGCAAGAGTGGGAGTGGTCACTGAGGAGGTGAAGGGGCCCTTGCCACCTGGAGGGCTTCAAGCAGAGGATGGCAGGGCCGTGCTACATTTATCTGACCATTCTGTGTCACCTGAGATCTGACCCCAGTGCTCTAACCTGTGGAGGGCTCTGGGAGCCAGACTGTCATCTGATGAATCCACCGTTCCCTCTTTGTATCATGTGCCCCTCTGATCTGCTGATCACTGCCATCGTCAGCATTACTGACAACATTATTTGAGACCCGAGGGTACCCCACTGCAGAGTTCCTACACACTGACCCCGTCTCCTGATGACTGATCACTCTCTGGGCTGGGTCACTGAATCAGTCTCAAAACACCCGCCTGTACCATGAATGAGTCCATAACTCCCCATGTTCTCTACAAAGAGAGGCCACAAGAAGACCTAGTGCACGCAGGTTCCAGAAAAGCATTCCCTGATCTGCCCATCTGGAGGGAATATAATTCTACAGATGCCTGGGAAGCTTCCAGGACAGCCGCCTAGCTGACCATTTAAAAAGTCCCGCCCCAAGGAATGAACAACAGAGCTTCTGGTTGGTGTGACTCTCTGGCCCAGGTTTCCTTCACCCACTCACCTGCATAGCCACTCTGGGGGATGTCTCCCTCTGGCAACCTAGGGGTTTCCCCTCTCTCCAACTGGCAGATCACATCTGGCTTGGAAATAGCAAGGCCTGTTAGGTGAAAACATAAAAGACTTATGAAAACAGAGCCTCCTCGGGATTGTTTTAATCCCTTCCCCCTTCTGGAAGAACAAGGTTCTGCTGGAAAGGCCTAGAGGAAGATGCAAAGGTTACTGAAGGATACCCTAGATAATGTGCCTGAAGTGGGGTGGGGGGCAGAGGGGAGGGTGGGGGGGGTGTATGGAGGACTGGGCCTCAGAGCAGATCCTGGATCGGAAAGAAGCTTGGTCCCTGCTAAGAGGACGGGGACTGTGATGTATTTAGATTCTTGGGACGATGAGGGTGAATCCTGGGCCCGGTGGAGGGGCAAGCAGTCAGATTTCAGAGGCACAAAGCAAAGACCCTTCATCCTTTCACCTGAGAACAGGTGTGGGGCAGGCCAAGAAGCCTCTCTCCAGAGCACCCAAAGAACAGGCGTCTCTGGACATCAGACAAGAACAGCCTAAGAAGCCTGGCGCCATCTACTCAGGAAACAAAGCCCTCTTGGGCCGAATGCAGGGCTGGGGCAGCTGCCATCCTCACCCAGGCACACCAGGTTCTGGTAGTTCTCCAGCATCACATCCCGGTACAGCTCCTTCTGAAGAGGGCGCAGGTGCCCCCACTCCTCTGCGGTGAAGTCCACGGCCACGTCATTGAAGGTCACCGATTCCTGAAAAACAAGTACATGTGTGCTCACCGGGGACCATCCCCTGATGACCAGGGGAGGAGCGGGGAAAGCTGCTGGGGATCGTAGGGAGTTCTTCCTGCCGAGTTCAGGATTCAGGGTGTCCCAGGACAATCTTTTCTAGAGCTCTGTCTGAGGCCCAGGTTGTCTCGACTCAGAATCATGCCACAAAATGAGAATCTGAATAGCCTGTTCTTATGTGGCTCCTCTTGGTTATACTTAACTCCCAGCAGCTCAGTGTAAACATTCATTACCTCCATCGTACAGAAGAGAAAACAGAATCGCAGGCTCTACGCACCACCTGGCCCAGGCTGCATGGGAACAACACTCCTGTCTACATCATCCCCAACACATGCTCAGCCGCCTCATGAGGGGTGACCTGCTAGGAGCTCAAACACCCCACTCCACAATGAGACGGCTCAATTTGTGAGGACAGTATTCCTTACCAGTCAAAATGTGCTTCTCTGTGACTCCTGGAGCCAAGCAGTCATCGTGTCCCCTTCCACCCTCCACCAGTCTTTCTTCTCCAGGATGTGCGTCCCAGGTCCTTGAGCTGATGCTCTGGAGGCCCCACCCTGTCCTGGCTGCCCCCTCATTCATGAGCCCCCCATGCCCAGGACCAAACAGAGAAGTCCAGAGGTGGTCTGACCAGGGCAGAGGCCAGAAGAGCTGTTACTCCCCAGTCATGGACACCACGCCCTCTGGCCCTATTGCTGCCTCATCCTGCTTTTGTATCATGTGAGTCTGCGATCTACTAAGACCTCTCAGTCTTTCAGCCCTCCCCATTTCCTGACACACCGCCATCACCTCGCACTTAACACTAATAACAGTAGTATTTATATTGTGTTTTCAAGTTTGCAAAGCACTTTACAGAGTAGAGCCAAGAAGACAGACAGGTCTGTGGACACAGGGGTCCGGGGTCAAAGACTGTGCTCCAGGACAAGCCTTACCCAATTCAGGGTGCCAGGACAGGTGCCAACCAGCAGTCTGGTGGCTCGCTGCCCAATTCCAGAGCAGCCTGAGGAAAGGACCTGCACCCAGGGGTACCTGGGTGCCAGTGTAAGAGGCAGTCATGGGCCCTAGGCTGTGTACTGATGGAAGACTCCACGCCAGGAGTCCTGTATTCTGGGCTCAGGCCCTGGGGTGCTCTGGAGGAGCAGAGGACAAGGGGAGAGGGCAGTCAGGACAGGGCAGGGCCTCCTGAGCATCAGCTGGAGGACCTGGGGTGTGCATTATGGAAAGGAGGAGACTCTGAGAACATGAGAGCAGTTTAAGAGCCTTCAGGAGGGTCTCACTTCCAGCCTCACTTCCTAGTCCAGACTGAAGCCCTCGAGGAATAGTAGGGTAGGAACCCCACACTGAAGTGAAGCCTCTGAACCAGAGAACCTCCCAGCTGGCTGGTCCAGCAGCAGTCCACTGGCACTCTAAACACGGCAAGTCCACAGGCCTGTTGCTCAGACCCAAACCCAGGTCAGGAACTTGTAGAGCTCAGACTGAGGGGTAAGTCATCAGATTTGTTCTGGATCAGACAAGTTTGGGAGCACTGAAAGCTTGCAGGTGAACAACCTGCTGGATCGTAGAACAACACATTTAATACCCAAGAAAGCAGTACGAGGACCAGCCCTGATATTCCCTCCAGAAGTGCACAGAGCCTAGCCCTAATATGAAGTCTAAAGTCAGGGAGTAGGGTGGAAGAATGAGAAAACGAAACAAAAAAAGAATTGCAATATAAAACAGGGGTACGCAAGACACACATCCAGGAGAGAATGACTCCAAAACAGCCACAAGCCAAGTCTCAAAGGAAAACAGCTTGGGCACAAATTCAACTAGAATTCCTAGACGAGATGAAGCAAGAATTCTTTTTAAAAATTCAAAAATATTTTCACAAATTGAATAGTGCTGGAGGAGAAGGAAAAGAAATGGGAACTCTGGGAAGAAAGAATTGGAAAGGGAACAGTTTGGTAAAAGAGGTACCAGCAAACTTTGTCCAAGCAAGGGTAAAATCTCATGGCAAAAACAACTGAACTAGAAAACAGATCAAGGAAAGAAAGCTTCAGGGTATCTGGGCTGCCTGAAAGCTGTAATCAAAGAGAGAACTACAAGGGCTCAAGGGCTGGGCCTGGAGTCAGGAAGACTTGCCTTCCAGTCCAGCCTCCGCTACTCGCCATCAGTGTGGCCCAAATCACAGCACCACTGCCAGCCTCAGTCTTCTTAGCTCTAAAATGGGGATTAGAGCTGCACCTCCCTCCCAGAGCTGTGAGGATGCTTCAATAACCATAAAGCATTTCACGAACCTATGCATTATTCCTATCAAAATGACAGGGAAAAAAATCACTGTCCCCAAAAGGACAACTCTGGGGCCCATTTTGGCCAAAGTCCAGACCTTGGGCTGAGCCAGCATCCAACGGGGAGATGAGACAGAGGTGGGAGGGGGAGATGGAGTTGGGGCGGAGGATGAGACAGAGGGGGGAGAGGGGCTCTTTGTGGGCAGCAGGGAAGCTCCCAGCTGATGGGGGTCATGGGGCCAGTTCTTGGCTGGGCGTGGGAAGGGGTCAGCTTGGGGTGGGACCTCTGCAGGGCGAGGCTGGATCTGTGCTCCTAACCCTCCTCCAGGGTGGGGGGCGGGCATCTCCTCCTCTCGCAGCCCCTCCCCACCAGCTCGGGGTCCTAGGGGGATGCCCGAGGGGCAGCCGCCCAGCCTAAGCCAGCAGGGAGCTTGGACGTGGGGGGTCTTCCCCAGCCCCGCTTCCTCCGTGACCAACCACCTCCCACCTCTAGGCCCGCCAGGGCCTCAGTTTACCTAGCAGGCTCACCTGGAGGGCATGGGCCGGTGCGGATCCGGGGGCCATGTCTGCCCCGTACTGAAGGTAAAGGAGGGAGAGGGGACTGCCACGCCCCCGGAGGAGCAGAACCCCAGGGCAGGTCCTCGCGGTGGCTCCTGATTGGCGCCCAGGCTGCCCCACCCCCTTCGGCCTGGCCAATGAGCGCGCCCACTGGCAGGAGAGCGTGGCTGTAGACGCACCTTGAAGACTGCGCACGTGTGGCTCCCTCGGAGCCGGCGCCCCTCCCCCTCCCCCGCTCCAGAAGCACGTGCCTCGCGCCTTGGCTCCACCCTCTCTTCAGTTTGCCCGGCTTCCGGCTCTGGTCCTCATTCACCCCAGGCCTAGACACGAGGGCTCGGTCCGCGGCTGTAGCCAAGGACGCAGCCGAATCCTTCTAGAGGAGGATGGAAGTGACGTAGCACCACGGAAGCCGTGCAGCCCTCGCCACACACCCCCACCGGAAGCCAGGTGAGTTGGCACAGCCTTCTGGGAAACGTAGTCCGGAGGCTCAAGCGACATGTGCGCATGCCTGAAGTCCCTCCAGGCTGGGTGAAAGCGCCACCTTCTCCGGGAAGCCCACCTGGATTCCCCCATTTCCCTTATCTCCCTCACAGACACCCCTCCCGCCCCCAGTCTATAGAGGCAGCTGACTGGCGTATTGGATAGAGCCAAGTTGTGAGGATAAGACGAAAGAACAGTCCGAAGCGCGCCTGGCACAGAGAGGCGCTTAATCAAAGTCCGTTCCCCGCCCCCACCCCAAGGGGCTCTGCTCAGCCACCCTGGGCACCCCGGCAGACCCCCCGGGGCCTGATGCGTCCCCGCCCTGGCTCGCCGGCCCCGCCCCTTTCTTCTGGAGGCTTGTGGATTACATCTTGCTCATTTCCAGCCTGCTGGAGGGGGAGGAGGTGCGGACCCCTCTGAGAACAAGGGGGCCGAGGGCCTGAAGCGGGTGCCAGGGTCCCCATTGCACCCAGGGCCGCAGCCGGAGGTCCTGCCCTCCCTCTGGCCGCGGGACTGCGGTGACTGGAGTCAGGGCATCTCACTAATCCTCTGAAAACGAAGGACAGACAGGGAGCCCCCCATCCCCCACAGTGTGGAGGTGTGGGGGGAGGGGCCGACAAGGCCCCGGCTAAAGAAAGAGCAAAGAGGGCTCCCATTTCATCCCCATGGGCCCGGGGAACCGAAGACCCTCTCAGCAGAGACCCTCTCCCCATCTTTCTCCCCTTGTCTCACTGGGGGCTGGTGCTCCCGGAGACGGAGGCTGCCCACCTGTGGTGCTAGGTACATGAGCCTGAGCCTGGACCTCTGGGGCTTCTGTCCCTGCGCAGGTCCTGACTGGTCTGCAATCCTGAGCAGGAAGTCTTTGGTTTCAGAGCACAATACTCCATCCCCGGGGAATGTTTGCTGGCAGGACCAGCCCTATGCCTGGAATTCTCTCCCTTCCCACCTCCTGCGTCCTTTAGTCCTCCACTAACACTTCACCTTCTAAGGAGGCCCTTCCCAATGCCCCCCCCATTAATGCCAGTGCCTTCAAGCTCCTAATTATCTCCACTTTATCCTGTCCATGTCCTGTTTACACAGCTGCTCACGTATTATCTCCTTTATCACTCGGTGAAGTCCTTGAGAGCAGAGACTGCAACTTGCCTTTTATTGTTCCCCCCCCCATGTAGTGCACCCTATCGGCATGAGTAGTGACTTAATAAGTGTTTGTAACTTGACTTGTGAACTCAGAATGGTGGTATGCAGACAGGCACAAGTGATACTTCCTGTGACTGACCATACCATTCCTCCGAAAAGGTGACCACCAAGATGATGAGCCAGGCAGAGCCGGTGGTTCAGAAGATATGGACCCCGCATGGTGCGCATCTACTCAGTGTCCCATACAGTGCTGGCACGTTTGAAGTACCAACCTCCTGGACACTAATGTTCTCGTATCTTGTTTGAAGGGCTTGTCAATGTGCTGTAGAGGCAGCTAGGTGGTGCAGCAGTGGATAGACCTTGGGACTTGGAATCAGAAGGACTCATCTTCATGAGTTCAAATGAGGCCTCAGACACTTACTAGCTGTGTGACCCTGGGCAAGTCATTTCACCCTGCTTACCTCCGTTTCCTCATCTGTCAAATGAGCTGGAGAAGGAAATGGCAAAGCACTCCAGTATGTTTGCCAAGGAAACCTCAAATGGGGTCCTGAAGAGGAGGACACAACTAAAACAACTCAACATTATAACCCTAACTCAATCCTAAAAGATCAATGCCAAGGGATGTTCAGACTGTCAACCAATTGCACTCACTTCACACACCAGCGAAGTTATGCTTAAGATTCTGCCAGTTGGGCTTCAGCAATATGTGAACCAAGAACTGCCAGAAGAGCAGGCTGGTTTTCAAAGAGGCAGAGAAACTAGAGACCAAATTGCTGATATTCACTGGGTTATGGAAAAAGCAAAGGAGCTCCAGAAAAGAAAAAAAAAACATGTTTGATTGACTGCTCTAAAGCCTTTGATTGTGTGGATCACAACAAAAAAGATGGGAGCACCACATCATCTTACTTGCCTCCTGAGGAAGCTGTATGGGGGCCAAGAACCAAAGTGGAATACCTGATGAGTTTGATTGGGAAAAGGGTACAACAAGGCTGTATACTGTCACCTTATTCATTTACCTGAGCCCAGTTTTTCTTAGTGGTGTTGGAATGTAGCCAGGGTGCAGTTTTCTCTCTCCCTTCCCTGTACTTTACCACACAAGAAGGAGAGTCACTCAGAACCTCAAGATGGGGAAGATTGGTAATAGGGGTTCCAGGAACACTCAATCCCAGCCTAGGACTGGTCAGCCCACTGACCACTTTTCCTTAGTCACAGGTGCTGATGTCTGGGTGACCAGATATGAGATGGCCTGTGGGTCATGCCAGATGAAGGCTCTTTGCATCAAAAATATTCCTGTTGTGCCAACAATTCCATGGCCAGGGATATGGGAAGTGGGCCCTAGAAGTAAAAATCCATCCCCTGTGGTTTTCCCTCATGTTTATTCAGAGCCCCATTGTGTGGTTTCTAGTTTCCTCTTTGGTCAACAGTTCAGCTCCTTATGGAAGAAAATGGGGGAGGAAATGGGCAACCCTACCATTTGAATGTCTGCAGATTCACTTTATTGAATTATCAAAATCTCTGGGCTACAGATAGTTTCGGTGTGCAGAGACCAACTGAGCCAATGTCCATGCCACAGCAAACATTGTAGTGTGAAAGTGAATATTGATTTTTGTTTTGTATAATTGATTTTAGTCTGTAAGTGACTTTATTCTGTAACCATATTCTGTATTCTAAACCTCTTTTCTGTCTCCATGTGAAGAAGCTCATGACTTCAAAGGTTAAACCTCTCTCTATCTAATTAAATGCCAAAGGCTCAAGCTTTCCTGCAGTCGCTGGCAGTTGCATAAAAACCTCTATTTTAGGGGTTCAGTACTGTCATAAACCATTATCTTATCACCAGCTTCAAGGTTTGTATGTTATTTTTGAGAACTGGACTCACTGACCTTGTCTGCCTTTTAGGCTCGTTTTTAGTCAATTGAAAAAGGATGGCTTTATCTGGTCCCCAGGCACCAGCCTGCCTACATTCCTGGGTCCCTATCAGTGACGTCAGGATACAGCTGGGAGCCATAAACATGCACAAAAGCACTCATTCCTTAGAGACAGAGGGGTAGTCCCAATCCCACATGCACACGTGCCTGGCTTCCTTAATGTAACCAATGACAATCCCTCACACCGATGATGCTGGCTAATCGTCTTCTCTTTGTCCTGCTTTTTGTTCCGTGCTTATAAAAATATGTTGCATCTTCAATTCAGGGTCTTTTTGAGGCTGTCAAGAGACCTGTTTTATTGGTGGGTTGTTTTGCTCAGAGAAGCTCACCTCGATTTATCTTTTTGTTAAATATCATATGCTGAGAGTTGGTGGTGGGGGGTGGGATGTAGCAAGGAGAAACCTCCTCCCCAGACCCCTTGGGGAAAAACCTCTCCCCTCTTCTGGGCTCAAGTGGAATGTTTGTCTGCTAAAGGAGAGTTTCTCTGTCAGGGATTCTGTGACTATGGATAAGTTCTCCACAGTCAGATCTTCTCTGGGCAAGACAGTAATTTGGGATTCATTTTGTATGTTTTATGTTTGTTTTGAGTCTTTCTACTTAATAGCTAAAGCTACTGAATTTGGAAATTAGAGAGAGACAGAGAGAAAGGAGACAGAGAGAGACAGAGACAGAGACAGAGAGAGAGAGAGACAGAAACGGAGACAGAGAGCAGGCTGGTTTCCAGCAGACTGCCTCTTCCTGTTAAGGAGGGTCCCTCAAAGCAGAATGGGGGCCAAAGTAACCAACTTTAAGTGTGCCCTCACTTAATTAGGAATTCCCTAATTCCTGTATCCCTAGTGGAATCTCGGTGCTTCTCCAGTCTGGCAGTATTGAGGATTTTTTTACCCTAGCTGGTGATCCGTTAGAGACCGCAACATAAACCAAATGAATTGCCATAAATCTGATCTTCCTTTGCATTTGTGCATACGGGTGGCAGGGCTCGGGAAGCGCGATCGCCTGGTCTCCACGACATCTAGTGGCGAAAGTGAAAATACCAGCACGTTTATGTTGGTAGAAAATGACTCTCGGGTTTTTGCTTCGAGTTGTGTCACCCATTAAAATTATATCCTGGGTTCCTGGGCTGAGGACAGGACTTACTGATGGCGGCAGCTGGCACTGAGCAGGGCTCTGGAGAGCCTTGGCAGGAGGCCTGCCTGGACCTGGAGCGCTCACCTGGCCGGGAAATGGGAGCCAGGGCAGGTGGCTCCTACAGGTGATGCCCGCCCTTTGCTTGATTCTTGGACCACGTGTGTGAAGCCGCCCCTTCACAGCCTCGGAGCAGCCCCCAAAGTCGTTTTCCACCTTCATTTGGTTGGGATTTGAACCAGCAAATGATTTCTTTACCTTCACACAGAGGATCTGGACGTTTTCAGAAGACTGGTCGCTGAAACTTTGCTCTCCTGCAAACGCGTGCTTGTCTGTCCTTGTCTTTCTGGGTGGGCCTTTTGTCTTTTTGTGTGCTTCAGAATTTTATTTTTATAATGGGAGCTAAGAGCAGCACAACCAGTCTGCCCACAATAGTCTCCCTTGGCAAGACTCCCTGGAGTCTGGGATAAAGCTACCCCCTGAGCCAGGCATGGCAAGAAACTAACGCTTATGTTTTGTGGTGGTTGGTTTAAAATGACAACTAATTCAGGTGGCGAATCGCTGGGGCCGAGGTCCAGCTCCTTGAAAGATTTAAGGCTAGTTATAGTAAATAAAACCCCAAGGCAGCCGGAACATTGGTGTCCTAGAGCTGTCCAAGGGCAGCTGCTTGTCTCCCCTGCGTTACCTTCTTCCCCTGCTCCCTGGACTCCCTATCTCTTGGTCCTCGATTTCCTTTCCAGCCTGCTCTGACCCCTTCCTCTCTGGTCCTTCCCTCAC